GATGTTTTTGTTCACTGTGTGTACAGACTTGACAGAAATTGGAGATTAAGGCTAAGGTTAAGGCAGGCTAAAGCTAAAAGTTCACCTAAATCTCTGCTTTCTCCACACTGTAATTCAAAGTTCTCCTTTTTATCTCCTTTAATTTTCATTCTTGTCAGATTCATGACTGACAGTTTTTGTTATTAATTCTTATTAAATTTTTTTTTTTAAAAGAAAGGAATTTTATATGAACTGGACATTTCAGCTCATAGTAAAATGCTTTACCAGCTTCAACACCATTAAATAGAATCATGTATATTTCTAAAAATTTGTCATGACTACTTTTAAAACTATTCAGTAGCTGAATTGATGAACAGGTGAGAAATGATAATTTTCAAGAACCGTGTATCCTGATTCTTTTTGCTACAGAAGTACTGATGTTAGAATATTTTTCTTAATTAAGTCTCTAAAGTATTTCAGCATGTTTTCCTGTGTTCTTTGCCACAGTTATCATTAGTCTAACCTAATGTGTTTTAAACTCCTATAACATTTTGTTTAGTATACCCTAAATGGGTTCCAAGGGTTTCAAGCAGTGCACGTTCAGTGGGATTAAATGAGTTCCCAGCTGAAGGTGTCACTGAAGGGACACCCTCGAGCTGCACATGTGCTGGGTAATGTCAGATGAACTGCAAACAATCCCTTGCAGCACGTTGCATCAGCTTTTTCCTCCAACACTGATAAACAAATATGTTATTACTAACAAAATAGAACTCCAAGTTAGAAAATAAAGTTATGTAATGTTGGTGTTTAGGTCTGTGTTTCTGGCCTTCAGAAAGATGTCTGTGTATGCTAAAGCTGGCACGTGCTCTCCTTAACTTTATCATGCTGGCTGTGTCCTTCCTTTTCCCTCTTTTGTCTGCTTGAGATAAATTATAAAGAAAAGTAAACCCAGCCAAAACCTTCTACAGGTCTAACTGGTGAGAGATAATTGCATATTAGTGGCTATTTTGCCATGTCAATGACTATTAATTGTTGTTTGGGGTTTTTTTTTAATGCTTTCCTGATTCTTACTTCCTCCCAGCTGAACAGGGAAATCACTTTAAACAACCAAGAGAAGAATTTTCTCCATTTCTTGAAAGCAAAAAATCCACAGATGTATGTGTGCTGGTTTGTGTGTGTACATATTTATTCCAAACACATATGTAAATCCAAATATACATCTACATAAATTTGTATGAAATGGGATTAACCATCCTGGAGAAGCACAGAGATGTAGGGTAGGGGATTTAAAAATGCTTTGCATAAACACAGCAGACATGCATGAGCTTTGTCTGTTATCCCAGACATGGTCATCTGAGGACAACCTGAGAGGCCCTTTGGAGTCTGAACTCTTCTGATACACATGCTGCTTTCCTGTGGGGATGAAATACTTGGACTTCTGGACACTCTGCTGACAATTTGGAAGGAGATATTTGTCAGTTTTGCAAAGAATGACTTGCTAGAGAACCTAGACAGGCTTAGCCACTTACTGGAGGATTCTGCCATCCAGGGCTGTTAATGCAGGGGAGGACTGATAGAGACTTGATTAGTATGTTCTGGGAGGTGAAACAGCTGACTATAGAAGGCTGAATTTGCATCAAACCTTACTTAAGGTGAGGAAAAAGCTTGTCACGTTCTGAAAGAAGAAAAGCAAACTTCATCAGGGTGCTTGGATGTGGATGGCTCAGCAGGGAGTTGGGGAGGAATTGGACTCGTGGAATAAGGCTTCAGAGCTGAGAGCTGAGCTCTTTCTCTCAGTGATTTATTGCTTACTCAGTTGGGGTCAGAAAGTAAGGAAGTTGCTTCTCTGCTACACCTTTGTTTCTAAAATATGACTATTTTTGTTATGGAAACTTGGGTATGGTAGTGACCAGGTCTGGGTGCTGTCTGTAAGAACTCGGTTTAAAAAAATACTGATTTGGAATGAAGGTGTAAACCAGTCCCATTATCAAAGTGCTTTGATGAATAATCACAGCACTAAACTCAAGGCCTGTATGAAGTAATAGAGGTGCTTGAGCTTCCAGATTGATTTTTCGACTTGCTTTCCTGAACTACCTTGTGTTGTTTGCTATAAAATCCTTCTTTCATCTCTCCCTCTGGTTCTGTGCCATCAAACCAAAATGTGTCTCATCTTTAAACAGGTGCTTGTGAAGGGAGAATCTGACCAAGGGTCAGGATGTTGGGCAGCAATAGTCTATTGATTCTGAAAAGTTCCAAGTATCTTTTTAAATGATTTAATTATTTTTCATAATTCTGTAATCCATGGTTCTGTCACAGTTGAGTCACTGCTGAAATGAACTGTGTGATCAGAGGAGAGAGTCACTGATAGAAGAGGGAAGGGCATAGCTTTGTATAGCTCTGATGCTTCATGCCAGCTCAAGTGTGGGTCAAACAGTGGTGGAGAAATTCTAGTAGTTGTCTAATCTAAAAATTTTAATAATGTTTCTTTCTGTCTATGAGTTTTGGGTTGGTAAGTTTAGTCTTAGTGCTATATTGTGACTTTAGTGCAGTCACATAAGCATCTGGCTCTAGTGCTTCTATGATTTTTGTGAATAGGCATGAAGTTAACTTTGAAGGCCCATGCATGGAAAGATAAGAACCTTTGGAAGGAACATGTTCCCTGGGCTTTTTTAAATAGAAAAAACATAATTTAATCCAGACATTTAATATTTAGAAAATGGATTATTTATAACTGATGGTGTTATAGCCCTTCAGGCTTTAGTAGGTAAGAGTACCTGTGGTTTATTGTAAAACTTTTGAACAGGATCTTCTGTATTCTAAATGTGGTTCCTAGTTTTACATCGACTAGAGGAATGCACCTTGGATACAGATGAGGAGAAGTAATAAGGACAACTGATTCTTTGCCCTGTACAGGCAAAGTTACTGTTGTGAGTTGTGACTCAGCCCATCCTCTGTGTGTGTATGAAATATTGTGTGCTTAAACCCCAAACCACTGTAGTAGCTGAATAATTTAAAACCTGTTTTATGTTGGGCTCGTGTAACACCTTTGCCCTTGAACTCTTGCTCACAAAGGTCTTTCTCTCACTGTTTCTGATCAGACTGTGTGAATTACCAGAGTAGGAAGAAAATTTCCTTTGTGTGAGGTGACATTTAATAACAAAAACATTTGTTACTCTTGTTTGCTTTTTAATTTTGTTACCTCTGCAGTTTTGCAAGCCACAGGACTGACATGGTTACCCACTGGACTATCTGTATTTATTGTCATTTGCTGATTACAGAACAGGTTTGTCTTTGAGGCTCCCAACTACTGTGAAAAGTCCAGTGCTCTTTGAGTGCTTTGTGAGGGTGTGTGTTGCTCAACACTTTAAAGACTCAGTCATATATGGAGATGTAGAGGGTTTAATTCTTAAACAGATTGAGTTTGGAATAGGTCATTGATCTTCTTGAATCATTTTTCTCACCTGTCTCAGTAGACACAAATCCAGGCTTTGCAGTACCTCCTGTTGATATAACACAACTCATAATTCTTGTTGCCTTCTCATGGGACAACTAATTTTTCACTCTTGGGTGGTTTTTTGTTTGTGTTGTTGAGCACCTGGTCTTACTTCCTTGTTTAATTGAGAACAATTAGTGATAAGGGTCTGATTACTTGATGTAGTGTCACTTTAGGATTTTAAATGGCAGATCATTATAGTTAAAGGGTCAGTGCAGGTGGGAATTTTGAGGATTATCTGGTGATGTGTAGCTCTATGCTTTTACAAATACCAAGCCAGCTAGTTTGCAGAGAAATGGCAGGGCAAGAGGAGAGCAAGTGTTCTTGAATCATCTTTCCTGTTTAGATTTTCCTGCTTTAAGCTCTTTAGTGGTAGCTGGAAATGAGGGAACTATCTGGTACTGGCTTAGTTAGCTCTGGTACAAAAATGCCCAAGGTAAACTAATTATTCAGTGTTATAACCCAATAGAATTGCTTGGTGCCAGATGTTTTACAAGTAGTAATGTAGTAATGTGTGTAACGAGACAAATATCTGTTTTCTATGTTCTTTTTTTTTTTTTTTAGTATAAGAGGTAGAAACTGAAGTTTTTTTTTTGTTCTTCACACTAAAAATTATCATCTTTTCTTAGGAGATATCTGTAATAAAACCCATGATAGCTTATTATAGTACAACAGAAAACAGTGCTCAGAGAAGAAAACTGTTTTAAGTCTGCTTGAAACTTCCTCTTAATTTGACTTTCCAATTTTTTAGTTACTTTTGAATGACTTAAAATATTCATTAAGTTCAATTACTCTTAAGCACGTTCAGATTCTATTCCTTCAGTGCCAAATATATTACATGATATTTAAAAGGAAATAAATCCTTGTTAATGGGTTTACTTAATTAATGCTTAAGAAAATTCTGTGGAAATAGACTATTTTAAATTATGCAAGAAATCAGCTTATATTTTAGGTACTTCAATACCACATTTCTTTCTATATAATTTCAAGTGCTGAATAGAAGTCATTGCTAATTTCAAAGAAATCAATTAAAAGGTATGCTATTTTCTTAGTTGGTTTTGCTCTTTAGCACTGACAACATAAATAATTAGTAAAAACATACCTTTGTTCAGTGTGATAAATATCAAATTACTAATTTTGTTGGTTTCGGATGAAGAACTTATTAATATTATTAATATATCAACAGAGGGCACTCGTGTGCTTTGAAGTGACACCAAGTCTCTGCATTTTTAAAAGTGCTGGGAATAAATTTGAGCTGAAGTGAAATTTTGTGGGTTAAAATATATAATTATTATTTGATAGTGCTTGGAAAAATCGGTCATTGTCATATTTTTATTTCATACTCCTTCTACTTTGGAAATTTGCTTTGTGTCTTTGGATATTTTACAGTGGGTTGAGGGAGTACAGTCAGTTTGCCTTGAACTGATTCTAAAAGATGCTTTAATGTGGCTTTCTAATGGAGTTTCTATTAGCTAAGATTAAACAGTTGTAATAATGAATTAGAATTTAATAAATACCTTCTTTCCAGCCAAAAAGCCATTAGAAGAATCGGAAGAAAAGAAAGCAGCGCAGTCAAAGAAAAAGATCAAAGAATTAAGAGTTTTGGATGGAAAATCCGCACAGAATTTATGTAAGTGATGTCAAATGCATTAGGTCAACATCTAATTAGCATATACACACATGATTTTTCTTAATTTTTCTTATGCCTTTTTTTTTCTAAAAACTGCTAATTTGAAATGAGTCTTAAATTCAGAAGTGTTTAAACACATTTTGAATTCACTGGACAACTTGGGAAAAATTGAAAAGGTAAAATGGAAAAAATTATTTACACTGAAAGTGTAATTAAATGATGATCACTAGTTTGGCCAAGGCATAGTGTTGATAGGTTTTTTTGGTTGGGGTGGACAGGCCATTCCTAGGTCCTTTCTGGTTAGAGTAATGGAGAAATAGAGCTTGGTGGAAGTTAGAAGTTTAAAGAGAAAAATATTACCAAATAGACTAACTTAAGTGCAAATACTGCTACTATAAATTGTAAGGAAAACTGCCCCACCTCTTTCATTTAACTTGCTTCTTCTCTCTTTTATTATGGAAGGAAATCAATCTTTAAGAGTAATAAATTCTTTCATTGGAATTGGAAATACCATAAAATGTCACTAGTCCAACTATGCCCATGGCAAATAAGTGTGTAAAGCCAAATGTGTGCATTTTTTATTACCACGTCCATGAGCACATTTTCTTAAGCAGAAAATGAACTATGACACAACTGATATAAAACTTCAAGTTTTGAAAACATGGGTGCAGGATAATCAGCCATAATAGTTAGGCTGAATATAGAACACTTGATTCAAGTGTTATGCTAATCTACCCATGTTTAATACTTTGTAGTTTATTGAGTGGGGCTCTTTTGAGATTTCATAACATTCTGAGATCAAATTACTTTGAGAACTTGCCCTCTGAAAGTTTTGCACTATGTGTTGTCTCTTGTATAAGTTCAGCTATCCTAAAAAGTGGTAGAGTTAGGGCATTTTTTCTTTCTTTGCCCAGCTCTTAATCACCCTTTTGTCCAATTGTAAATGCTGTACAACTATTCATACATGGTTATAAAAGCAAAAATAATAATCGATAAAGTCTGTTTCAGTAGTAATATAGATGTCATTCATAAAGATGAGACTTTATTGCTAAGTAAGACTGTTAGAGACCAACTGAGCCTGATAAAAAGTTAAAAGTGTCATAGTTTCGTTTCTTAGAGAAGAAATTCATTAGAAGTCTAACAGCAGTAGTGTGTCTCATCTAACATTTGTTTTATATAGGACACTTCTTAATTGTGAAGCATATTATAGATGAAGGTATGATTTTTGATTTGCTAGAAATTAAGTCTGCCTCTATATCAATCCTTTTGACCTTTTTGATTCTAATTATGTATTACTGAATTTCAGCAATATTTTTGGGTTCTTTCCGTTTGCCTTATGAAGAAATAAAAAATATCATTTTAGAGGTTGATGAAGAGAAGCTGAGTGAATCCTTGATTCAGGTATGTGAAAATGTCTCTGGTTTTGTTAATACCTTGTTTTTTACGTAAAAATGTGTGAAGGTATAAGAATTCAAGAGTAAGAGTAGTGTAGAAGGTTATCAGCTACAAGTGTATCAGTTGTGTTTACCGCTTCATTTATTTCACTTCTACTGTTGAATATGGTCACATGTAACTGGAAAACTGTCTTCAAAAATACCTTTAACAGAAGTACCTTGCAATCTCCCACTTGATGAAGTTTCCCTTTCAAAAGGATATCTCTAAGAATTGTTTTTTCAGCTTTGAAGACAAGCTGAAGAAGATTTAGGCTGGTGGATAATGAAGTTTTATCAGGCTTCTCATGGAAACAGCTCTGCAACAACTCTGCTTGTCTCTAGTGAGAGATGAAATTACCTGAATGTTTCAGGATACTGCTGCAACTCAAAAACCATCTGCAAATGAAACCTTCTCTCAAGCTGGTTTGGTCTCAATGTGAGCTCAAAGTCTCTCAGCCGGAGACAAGCAAGTGTGGAACACAACTTCTTTACATCACTCTCTGATTTCCTCACTGTAGGAGGGTCGTGGCCCCTCATGATCTCTGGGGAACCGCAGTACAACAGAGAAGCAAGTAAAGCTTAAAAGTTGTAAAGATTTAGCACACCAGTAATACTGGTGTTGAATTGTTTTATTTAATATCATAAAGAGATTCAGATTCTAGCTAACATACTGAGCTCCAGTTTATCCTTTCATCCTTCCCTATCTCCTGTTTGCACCTTTGTCCCATTGCCCTTGAGGTTTTTTTAAATGAATTTCTTCTTTCTTTCTTGGATATGGAAATTGGTTATTCTGGGGATACAAGGCTAGACTGAGGTGCCTCAGTACAGAGTCCTAATTTTAATTTGGACTTTTTATTGATCAGGAATGTCAGGTTATGTGATTAAGAAGCCTACAGGTTTAGGAAAATCAAGAGTCTAGGGTGAGGAAACAACCCCACCTTGGATAGCTGAAGTACAGAGAGGCTTCAGATTGGTTATTTCTACTACAAATGTAGCTCAAAGTAGCTAAACCACTGTGAAGTCAGCACTGTTTTGGTCACAAGTCACAGTGACACCATATGGGCTGCTATGAAGTAAATTAACTTGGTCCCAACCCGACCTCGTACACCATAAAAAAGGCAAATGTGATTGCAAGGTGTATCAGGTCAAGGATTGTCAGTCGAGAGGATAATTTTTATGCTTTTGAATAGGGTACTTCTGAGACCTTATCTAAAATACTTGGTACATTTCTCAAAAATGCATTTAAAATAGAGAAGCTGAACTTAAAAACTACTTACGATGATTGAGGGATAGAGAAACAGTCTACAGAAGGAAGCAGAAAAGATTGGCTTGATTAGATCAGCAATATAAATAGCTGTGAGGGATGTGACTACATTATAACCGTATGGGGAGAGGAGTGATGTGTGTAAGCACTGGGGAGAAAAATGAAGTTGCATAAGTAAAAGGTAATGTTAGCACCAGAATAAATGGGAGTTCATCGTGAATGCAACTGGCTAGAAACTCAGCAGCCTATAATCTTCAGAAAATGAAGGCTTTGGAGTTTGGTCCCTTTCTGCTGGGAATGGTGTGGCAGAGCTTCCAATAGCAGGGAACACAACTGATAGCCTGGAAGAGATTCCTCTGTGTTTCAAGGGATATTCTTAGAAATATATTGGGGTAAATGGGCTGTGTCATCTATTTCATGTTCTGTCTATTCTGGTTTATTTTAATCTTGAACTGAACTATTAACTAATTTACCAGTTTAACAGTTTTCAATACTACTGATTGGAAAAATTGTACAAACCAAACGTTGCTTTCTTTCATGCCCAGCAAAACTCCCACTTGCTAAAAATGCACATGGAGAAACTACTTTGTTCTAAGTATCAAAGTAGTGGGAGTGAAATGAGTATGGCATAATTGAGCAAGTAGCAAAGTGTTTTTTCAATTTTACTTCTCAAGCCCTTGTTTCCTGCTGCTTTTCAAAGTTATGGTGTAATACTTAGTAAAATAAATTGGATTAATGAGTTTGAGTACACAGTAGGCTCTATACTGTTGTAACTCTTCCTTGAGGACACTGCTCTAGGGAAAAATGTTTTCAATTCCTTTGAGGAATTGTCTTTGAGGGAGTAAGTTTTTGTAACCATACGGTTGTCAAACACCATGTTTAGCACAATTTAGGGCATTGGGACAGTAAGTAGTGACTGATAGTTTCAGCCTCTTAATGTCAGCCTTAGATTCCTTTTCATGCTTGTGTTAACCATTTTTATTTACATTATTTTTATGTAAACCCATATCATCATGAATACATTATGAAACTGTTTTCTGAAGTACTGACAAGGATTTGAATGTGTGGTCACTGAAGGCTTCATCTTTATTTTCAGTTATTCAATACATTTAATGAAAATAAACATATATATATGTGTGTGTGTATCTATATATATGTATCTAAAAAAAGGACCTGCAGTGTTAATAGAGTGGGATATGAGTTTGAGTTAATAGGAAAGGAAACATACTTAGGTTTAAGCACAACGCTACAGCTTAACTGTGTGACATGGAGGTCAGTCTCTGTATATTGAACTCTGCTTGCTGAGATATTCAACAGGCCCTTAGTGTGAATATAAAAATCTCTCTGTAACAGGGATGTTTTGTATGAGACTGCTTGTCATCTTTAGTTTTCTTTATGAAGGTGGGTGAATGACTCTTTCAACTTGGAGAATTACATTTGCTGTCACTTGCAAATTTGACAAATTAGACTGATGCCTTTCTCCAAGTCGTACCTTGATTTCTCCTTCAAGCCTGGCAGAGTGATCAGTAATCAAATTCTCCAAATGAATAAGGATATTGCCAGAGTGATGGCAAGATTGGTCTGTTCTAAAAATAAGACATCTGTACCTCTAATAGTACAGATTTTCTCCAATTTAAATTTTTATATCTGAAAAAATATATTTCTCCAGTGTTGGTTACTTTTTTAACAGTCACATAACTCTTTTTCTATTAATGCTTGCTTGAATAGAAATGGTTTTCTTTTAATTAATTACATTGTTTTGATTTCAACTGGTGTATATATGAAAGTTTAGATGCAAACTAAACTTCTACTGACTATCTCTTAAAACAGTGTTCTTCCATCTTAATATAAGTATTTTATAGATCTAACATATCAGTATTGAGATCTTAAGATCATATACTAATACAAATTTCTTTGAGGACATGGATAGGATTGCAAACAACTTCAGCTTTTTGCTGAGTTCCAGTATATTTGCCATCCAAAAGATGTGTACAATTTTGAGATGTTGACCTTTTTTTGTGTAAGGTATTTTGAAGTGTGTTTTGTGCACAGCTACTTTGAATGCCTATAGATTGTAATTTTTTTTTTTTTGATAGTTATGTCTTGTTTTACACAGACGAGTTATTTCTTGATTAATATTTAATGAGCAAGATGCAATCTGTAGGGCAAAAAAGATTGTAGATAGACAAAACCTCTTGATGCTATCAGGCCTTGGAAAATTATACTCCAACCTTTTAATACTGAGAAGGTATTCTTCAAATCAGAGACTGTAACAGAGGAGATGATGTCTGTATTAAATAATTACTGATTTGATTTGATGTTTATATAGTGTTAAAGCTGCGTAAATAAAATAAGCTTCCCATAATTTCCTCATGCATTTCCATGTTGTGGTATTTTAAGCATGTTATTTTTAATATCTCAGTTAGTTTAATATAACAAATTTGATATAATGCCTTGTTTGTTTTAGAACCTAGTGAAGAATCTTCCTGAGCAGAAGGAACTCAATGCCTTAGCTGAATTAAAGGATGAATATAATGATCTTGCTGAGCCGGAACAGTTTGGAGTTGTGGTATGTATTGATGCAATGATTAACTGCAGAATTCCATTTTGTTACATAAAAAGAAAAATTTTAGGGATAAAATATTTTGATTATTGTTTTTGGAAGACCTGCAGCAAGGAAAAAGTTACTGTCTATTTCCTTTTGAGTAACAATCAAAAAATCTCTCTGAATACATAGCAGGCCAGTTTTGGTGGGGCCCTGAACAACCTGATCTAGTGGGCATTGATAACTCCAATAAATATTTTGTCTTGTATCAAAAACTGTAAACAGCTGAAAGAGTTAATATGCCCATAAGTGTCTTGTGTTTGTATGCAAATATATATATTATGTGTATGTATACATATATACGTAAGTATGCATATACACATAGAATACCTGTATTTATGTACAAACACACAGAAACTTGCAAAATGGTTCTAGAAGAGGGGTGGATTCAAATGAAGACTGAAATTGTAGATTATATTCTGTTTCTTTTATTAGCATTTAATACGTACTTGTAGTGCAAAAGTAGGGATATTGAGTGTTATAATGGCTGGAACCTGTCTCTGAAGGAAATTATGGAATTTGCATAAGTTGCTTTAATCCAGGCTGGGGGTGATGGTTGATACCGAGGACTACCCAGGACTTGGAAATCACTTTAGGTCTTCCAAGGACCTGATAAGTCCTTAGGCAAATTAGTTCCTGTTTTCACTTCACTTTGCCAGTCCAAAAGATTAGGATGCTGATGATGCCTCTGTAATGTGCTCAGGATTTATCCCCAGCTCCGCAGGAGCCAGGTTTGCTCTTGCTGGATTTTTAAGGCATTATGTGCATTAAAATGCATTAAAACAGGAATAGAGGCCTCTTAAAAGGGAAGAGTAAAATCAGCTTTTTACTAAAAAGCTCCAATTTGAGCATAATTTGCCTTCAGAAGTGCCTTTTAAGTGATTTTTTTTTCCCGTGATTTTTTTTTTTTTTTTACATTATTTTTCGGTTGGGCATGTAACAGAATATGACCTAATGAGATTTCTGTAGGGGATTTGGAAAATGAAAGATATCAATGAGTTCTTTTGAAAAACTTCAACATATTGATATTTTTTGTTCAATAAATGGCATCAAGTTCCAAAAATCTTTTATTTCAATACAAAGATGAGGAATTTTGGTAGAAGTCTGATACATTAGTTAGTCTTATTGCAAGAACTGCCATAGTAAAACATTACCATCTATTATTTGATCAGTAACAATTTAAACCCCACACATTCCCATTTAATAACATCATCCCTACCTTGTCTCTTCTGCTTCAGCCTGTTTCTACTGAATTGCTCTCTATAGCTTTTATATAAAGATGATTCTGGATTAGGATACTACTTATATACCTGGAGATCATGCCTTAGGATTACTGCTGGATTGAAACTAGATGGTCCTTGTTTTTTCACTTGATTGTATTGAAATAGTCATAAAAGTATCCTTATTTCCCAACAGTACCAATGTATAGTCATGATCACTGTTTCATTGATTTGTGTTTTTGAGGAATGACTGCCTATAGAAAGTTGAGAGAGTTTTCAACTATTTAATGCAACACTAATTAACAAAAACTGCTTAATCAAACATTTCCAAATGGTTATGTTTGCCTTATGAAGGAACTAAGTTTCCTGAAGCTTGTTTGCTTATTCAGCTTTACCATCTGGTTTAATAAAAACTAGTATTTTCCTTATGGATAGTACTTCTGTCTTATTTGCAGAGGCCTCTAACTGCATTACTAGTACTAAAATGCTGATTTTTTCTGATTTTGATTTAATTGAACTATCCATTGAAGTGGAAGAAATACAGCTGAACTTAAAACTCTTTACCTGACTGAGCTTCTTTTTTCCTATGTGTCAACTTAAGTATGGAGTTTTGCATTAATGATAGTTGTAACCTTGATGTTAGTCTGTCTGTCTTCTTCTATTCCTATCTTAAATAATATTTAAAATGTGTACCCCTAATTGTATGTAAATTTAGGCATGTTAATTATTAAGATATGTTAATTGTATAATCACTTTACCCATCAAAATTAATAAAGATTGGAATAAGTTTCTTAAAATTTGTGTAGAAAACCCGTACTTAGTAAATTATTAACTTATTAGAAGAGAGCGATTAACTTAATATTCGGCTGATATGTAAATGAAAATTAGAACTGCATTTTCATTTAGATTAAATGTTTAAATCAATTATGTATTCTAATTAGTTATTGGAACTTTTTGAAATTATATACTGGGATCAAAAAAGGCAACACAACTTCATATAAAGGAAAGTTTGCATTGATGTTGAAGTAGAGCAAGAAAAATAGATTAACTAAATCAGTTGTGTAACATTAAGTAAGCTAGGCAGAATCTTATCTGATTTTTAAATGTAAAACTTGTGTTCAAGAGTTAAGTTTTTTATGATATGGGAACTACTGCAGCTTAGTAAGGAAATGCAATTCCATTTCAGTGCCAGTTGAACATTTTTAGTATTATAAAAGCATAAGTTTCACAATGTAGTTGTATAGTGATTGCATATTTTGTGACCCTTTTTTTGCTGTTTGACCAGGATTATTTGTCCTGAACAGTCCTGACTGGGAGGTGAACTAAGTGGGGAGAACTGTACAAGTTTATTGTACCTGCATTGGTTTAGAGTCTTTCATTTTTTTTTTTTAATTGCCACTTGTTTGGCCTCATTGTAATTTCTAGAGCTGCTGAAGAATTAATCTTCCTAGAACATTGCTATAGAAAAAAAGAGACAACTTTAATATAATATAGGTAAGAGGGTAAGTTGTCTCAGTAAGTTGACAAATTTGTATTAGAGGAACGTCAGCTTTTTCTTAGGAAGTGAGGCAAATTTAATTGTGCTTTTTGCCTTTCTCCAATAGCCTTTGATCCTAGTTTTAATACAGGACTTGAGAATTGAATGGTGATAATAAAGCATAAAGAACTGAATAAAGAACTTGATTACGTAGAGAGTTCAGTCAAGACTTTTATGAAGGCCCAGAAGGGGAAATAATGACATACAGTCCAGCACTGACAGTGAGCTAGAAAAGAAATACCCATTTTCTTGCTTCTTTAACTGTTTGTGGTGGAAGCCAATGTTTGCTGTTCCATGTCTTATTTCTTATATGCCTTGGACACTAATTTTGTAGGACCATAGAGGACTGGACCTTTCTTCTAAGTGAATGTGGTCTTTACACCTTTCCTATTCCAGCAGATTCCTCCAAGTTCAGCATGTTTGTCAGCATCGAACACCTAGATTTAGAAAGAGGCATATGAAAGGGAAATGAGGACAGGGTGGAGAGGGAGGAACTAAAATAGCATTTGTGGTCATCATCTGATGATATATAAAAGGCATTATGTATATAAAAATGTTCTGAATTTGAAGGAAACAACCCAGCTGAAACAGCTCTTGGGAAATTGTGAAGATACTTTTAAAAGATTATGCAAGTCAGCAAATGAAATTAAAACTTACTGCTGGTTTGGTGGTCAGACTACCTTGCAAAGCAAATAAATGCTATGTTCCATGACACTTTACACACAGTGTTAAAAGAAGAAAGTACAGTTGGCTGAAGTATTGTCAAGGATTATTCTTCATAAATCTTTGTCACACTGTTCTGTTGGCTTATACATGTTTTGCTGCATTTTGTTTTCAGGATCTAAAGCTTTTGACAAGTTTTTCTGTGCCACATTGAGGTTTTCAGTAATTGGAGATTGTTCTACAAAAGTTAAAGCAAATTATGTGATTAATTTTTATTTCTATCTACTGCAGATTAGTCTAAGTAGATCCTTTTAAGGCAGATGTTTTCAGTATGATATTTCTGAAATACAGAATGATTAGAAGAATAATGTTGCAAGACTTTCAATGATTTGGGCTTATAGAGGCTCACAGAGAAATTTGTGACAATGGAGATTTATAAAAAAAGATCTCTGGTTATGCTGAAATGCTTCTTTTTTGATCCTTTCCTTTTCCTTGTTCCAGTCTGATCATAGGAATTGTTTGAGACCATCTGGAGTGCCTTCATATTTATATTCATTTTAGAATGAATTCATTTTTATTCAGGCCACTCAAGTCTTTCTGCAAAAATTATCGCTGCTGTATCTGGTAGATAACACCAGTAGAAAAATCCGGGTTCCTCAAAGAACCAGGGTAAAACTTTGAGCAGCAGAGACAGAGGCACACCAAAATCTTTGTTTTCATGGTCACAATCTGTGATTTGTCACATATCAAAGCTTTTCTTTCTCAGTGCTTCAGGAACACCACTAAGAGTGAATACAGAGGGGGGAAAAAATCTTCCTGTATTGTGCTAAGCAAAATGAGGAGTTAGATTTGGAAGATAATCATTCTTGCAATTAAATGCAAGTTTTTAAGTGGCTTAAAAAAGATCAATACCTATTTTACCCTTAATTTAAATATACCTTGTGAATTACAGTGTTCTAAGTAGGAAGAAATAACTGATCACTTGTGCAAAATATGATAGACCACCATATTTTGGTTGCTAGTCTAGTGAATTTGGTATTGGGGATTTAAACTAATCAACATTGTACATATTTTTCAGTATCACTGTCATTACATGGTTACCACAGCACGATTTATGACCTCCCACCTTTTTATCAGATCAGGAGGGAATAAGTCCTGTACTACCCTTTGCCAAGTGTCTGAAACACAAAGGTGGTTGGATCCTGGGTAGTAGTTTTACAAAATTTACTTAAAAAGTTGAAAAACAGGCTCTATGTTACTTACAAAGTCTGATGCCATGGGATCAGAACTGAGAGTATACCATTAGTATGTCCTTACTTTAGTATGTCCAGGTATACTGGTTTTTATATGAAAGTTATTGTCATGAATTTCAACCCTGAACTCTGTATCCATCTCCAGAATATTTGCAACCTGTACTGTGAGGCTGATCATTGGTTCTTGTGAACTGGTAGAACTACCTTACATCTCCTTTGCTGGGAACAGGGGATTTGGCAGTGGGCATGTGTTACCAGTGAGCTTGGAATTGACAAGTTAAATGGTTTGGAATAACAAAGCACTTTCTTATGTTCACTGGTTTTTTTCAGGCAAAGTGTATGGTTTGGGGAAAGATACCTGTGAGCAGTTAACAGATTCCTGGAAATACCAGATAGGCAATGAAAACACACAGAAACTGTAGACTTGCTGGCTGCATGATGGGGTTTTTTTAATACAAACTATTTTGCTTAAATAACCCTTTGGTTTTTTATGTTCTGGTGCACTGTTTTGTATTTTGCAGATGAGCTCAGTGAAGATGCTGCGACCACGTCTCAATGGGATCCTATTCCGGCTTATGTTTGAGGAGCACGTGAACAACATCAAACCTGACATCATGGCAGTGACAATGGCTTGTGAGGAGCTGAAGAAGAGTGAAAGCTTCAGTAAGCTGTTGGAGTTGGTGCTGTTCCTTGGAAACTACATGAACTCTGGCTCCAGAAACGCACAGTCCCTCGGCTTCAACATCAGTTTTCTTTGCAAGGTAAGCTGAAGCTGTAAAACTTGGAAGTGCAGATTCATGAAACTCAGGACACATGAGAAAGTATTCTAAGCAGGGAAAAACATTCCATCAATGTGATTTACCAACTGCACCTCTGTGCTTAATAGTGGGTAGGGAAATAGAGAGTAAGCATTTCCAGGATGGTTCCTGCTATAGCTGGCTTGGTGCAGTGGGGATTTAAGGAAATTTAATTGCAAGTCTGTTCTGAGTTTTCTGGAGTACACAAGTAGAACAAATTTTTTCAATCTGAATTTTACTTATTTTATTGATAGAATATACACAGAACTCTGAGTGTGTTTAATAGCTCTGGTTACTCACCTTTCTTCCCCACCTTCTACCCAGCTATGACAGTCCCTCAAGTACTGTCATAGAAAAAATTACTTGGATTTAGGATGAACATTGTTAACCCTTAACCAAAGTCAATTTTGGTGGCAAAATATGGGATGCATCAAGAACTCCAGAACCTAGAGTAGCTGCAATTTCATGTGCACTGCTTGTTTGTTTATCTGGTAAAATGTGTGTAAGGCATTGATCCAAACTTGGCTCAGTTTGAAAAGTACCTTTGAAGGTATCTTTATTTTAATGACATGCAATGATTTGAAACAGATTTAAAAAAAAAAACATAAAAATTGCAGATTTTTTTTTTTTTTTAATCTAGTCAGAGGATCCAGATTTCAGGTCCCTTTTTTGGGCATCATGAGGAGATCTGATGTATATCTCAAGGAGATTTAACCTTGGGGCAAAATCATACTTCATGTACCCAGCAAGTGTCACCTGACATATTTCAGCAGGGAAAGACTCTGCTTGCTGTGGTTTAATGCAAAGATGTTGCCAACTTCTGATAAAATAAAAAGCATAATCTGAGAAGAAGCATAATTCTGTTCTTTAATAACTTTATTCAAAGAGCAGCCAAGTTGAAGGACTTTTTTTCATAGATCTGATCTGCATTTTCCTTATGATAGTAGTGGAATCTAAAGGGAAATTAATGTTTTAAGTGGAAAACTAGTTGTTACCAAGGGGGTGGGGAAGTGACTGTGCAGGAATGGTACTGCAGCAGAGTGGAGGTCTGAGAAGGAGCTCTTGCACTCCAGGTGAGAGATTTATGAATTGCTGTCAATGCAAATCTCACATGTTGACACAGCTAATGTAGATTGACTAATCCTGCAAATTGTTCTCTGCTGAACTGAATAATTGCTGAAGCACAGCTACCTGTGCTTACAGCTAAATTCTTCTGAAAAATAACAGAGACAGAAATCTATGACTACTTAATTCACTTAATTCAGCATTGCCCTCAGAAACAAAATCCATTTGCTAACCTTTTTAAATTTGTTTTCAAGGTAGATATTTTTAGGGAAGTGTTCTTTTCTGTTCTTTTTTTTCCCCCTCTCTGTGAGATTTAGAGAAAATACTTAAATATTCTGTGTAATATAATAAAATGTTGATTGTGCTGTTGCATTTAGGTACCAACTATATTTTGTGATAAGGTCATGGCTAAAAATAATCACATAACAGTGATGGTGGTTGAAACAGAAAGATGATCTTGCCAAGATCCAGGCATGAAATTATATCATTAATATCTCCATGTATTGATTGAACATTATGAATTATCACTCATAAGTTCCACATTCAGAACAAGTCACTGAAGTTAATGGAAATGTAGATCAGTGTCCCTGGACAGTGTGACATGTGCATTGTCTGCAACTGGAATTTATTGTTTATTACTTATGTTAAAAGATAGCTTTTGCTATTTAAAATCCAATTTTCATTGGTTTATGTATTTGCCATTCTAATTTGAATTAGATTTGTATAGTAATGTGCTTTTGCAAGACTAATTTTTTTCTCAAATGGTTTTGCTCCTGTACTTATGCTTTAATATCATACTGAGGGAGGTAGCCTTCTACTCCACTGGTGTTTAATTTTAGCAATAAGAGCTGTTTACATAATATTTTCAACAGATTTCTTTTCTTAATGATTTTTAAGTATGCAGATTTTTATTTGGATATGACTTTCTTTGTGCATTGATTATTTTCAAGTGATAATTGCAGTTGGTTCACCCAAAGTAGTAAGATGACTTTACTGGCTTTGTTTATGAACTAAAGCTACAGTTTTAAACTGTTGTGAACAGTATAAAATATTAAATTATTTCAACTGGGCATATCTTTTACAAGCACCAGCTTTAGTATCTGTCTACAGCCACCTACCGGCTCTATTACATTATTCAAACAGTCTCAAATTTTTATTGTTGGTCAATAATCAGCCTTCACTGGGAAAATGAAAACTTGTGTATGTGTGGCTATGGCAGAGGGAGTGTGTTAGCCTGTTCAGTGAAATCTTGCTGTGAAGTAAAATTTCTAGTTTATATTTCTTGGCTGAAGTGGACAGTAATAGAAATAAGTGACATCTGACAGCAGGAGCAAGGGCTATTTGGCAGTGTCATGTGCCTTAAATGTGTGTGTTTCCTGGGGCATCTGGATGCTACTGAATTTTGAAGGCTGTGTGAACACGGGAAGGTTTTTCCTCATTTTTAAATTTTTGTGTGGTGTCAATTTGAGAAGGCACTGCTACCACATTAGAAGTTTTCCTTCAGTAATTTCAGGGTATCTTCATTTCTGCTCCCAGGGAATGTATTTCACCATTCAAGCTTATCTAGAGGAATTTGGGACTCTTTATTCTGTATTTTGGTATAATACCTCTCTTTTTTTAGGATAGTGGTTTATACTACCAATCAGTGGACTTTCTGCCCATAATAAGGGAACTTTTGAATAATTTTTTTTAGAGCTAACTGTCAGCAAGGTAGGATATGTCTGTGTACACATTTTTATGTGCAGAATACACACACTTAAGGATGCAGAATCCTAATGTAATGAATTCACTTTTCAATAAAACCTAATTTTTGTATTGATTTCTTTTTTTGGGTTTGTTTCTTGAACAATCTTAAACTAATTGTCTATTCAGTAGATGTGGTACTTACATTATATAATCTGAAAAAAAAAGAGAAAAGAAAAAAGTCAAATATTGATCTGGGATGAATATTTGTGTTTGGAAAAGAAATGTTTTTACAACAGAGCTGGTTATTTCATACGCAGAAATTTGTTCTGGTGCAGCAACTTTTATTAAAACGTGCTAAAGAAAATAAAAGAAAGCACAAATTCCAACCTGTCTGGTCTGAGCTAAAAAGCTAATGCCTGTAGAGTAATTGCAAATCCTTAAAAACAGATTATCTTTCTGGATGTTATATTCCAGTGTATTATGTTATTGAAGATAGAAATGATTTGTAAACAACCTTTGGCAGAAGGCAGAGAGCTTAATTTTGTTCAAATAAGACATCAACATCAGAATTCAGGTGCTGCATCAACACTGGCAAGCGAGAACAGCTCTTCCCGCATGTGCACCAGAGCATCTTGATTGCCTAAGTATGAAGTGCCCTCTGAAAATACAAATATGGCAGAAAAAGTTCTAAGGTTGAAGGAGACTGCTGTAGTAATTCACTGAAGGCAAATCTTTCTACCTGTTGCTGTGTTTGTTTAATTTATAAGAAGGAAGCAGCTGCTTTCCTGAGCCCCAGCTGCAGCAGGAGAACCCTCATGGAAATGTAACAGAAAGGAGTTTTGCTTTAGGCATGTACAGGGACAACTTGTGTTCCTGTGGTGGTGACTTAATGTGATGACTAACAGCAAGCCTCCTGCAGTTTTAATAAAGCTCTTGTAGCATTCCAGGTGCATCAGTGTGTATTTTATGTAATAAGTAATATTATGTTACTTTGTGTTCATAGTGCAAATAGTACAAGACAAGCTGTTTATCTGGTCTGAGTATTACTGATAAGTGTATATTTATTGTCTACTAGCCCTTGTTCTCTTAAGGTGGGAAAGATTTCTAGGATATGAAAAGGTATATAATCTCATAAAAAATCAATAGAAAGCTTTTTTATAGCTATAATAAAGTGTCACTCTAGTGATGTCTCATACATAAATTTTTCCTTACATTGGCTGTCACTTTCAACCCTCGCACCTGAAAGCTGCATCCAGAAGTACCTGTGAAAAGACCAAACCCATTCTGAAAGTGGGTTATGGTATGATTGACGTGGTTTAAATGCTTTACTTAATGCTATATGTAAAGGGACATTTTTGTTATGCTGATTTTTTTTCTGGGTTACAGAACATCGTGCTCTGTGTATTACTTGATTTGAATGGGAGCACTGAGTGTTACTCTCTGTGTACATTAGTCTTTAACCCTTTCCCAAACAATCAATCTGAGAGTATTGACCCTCAAATTGATGCTTCAGCATTCAGCTGGAGCTGCTTTCTGTAGCTGACACTGATATAACAATTTATTTTGGTTTTTTTTTAAACTAAATATGTTATTCCCAAATTCCGTCTCTCAGGTAAAGATAGGCCATAGATTCAAAATCTGTATTTTTAAATTTTAACACCACAGTATTCAAAATTTACCCTGAATCATAGAATTACAGAATATCCTAAGTTTGAAGGGACCCATGAGTATCATCAAAGTCCACCTGCTGGTCTTGTGAGCAGAACTTAATAGCCTGGTAGGCTTGGAACTTGATTTTTAATTTATATATTTTGATTCTAAAGATCAAACAGAACTATCTGTATGCGTTGTGCTAAAAATAAGTATGAATGTAGCAGAGATGTGTTTATGATTGGGCCAAAGAAGTGAATTTGACAGAGGTGTTTAAGATCTGAGCAAATGTTTACTCAAAGTTTAAACAAGACAGAGGGTGCTAATACTGACTCTTGTTGATACAATGTTGCTGTTGGTGACAAAACATGTTTCTGTTGTAATTTGAAAGCAAAATAATTTTGTCCATTTAGAAAAAAAAAGTGCTTTATCCACTTGATGATGTCAGAGAGATCAAAGGCTGCAAATCCCACTACTGTTGTTCACAGACAAATTGAAATGCAATTTTTTTTCCTATGCAGATGTTTAGCCACTAAATCTATTTTTTTTTTTTCAAGTCAGAAGAACTTCTGTGTATATAACACATTAAAGCCCTTTAACTGCATACCATTACTGAGCATTGTTTAGTCTTTAATCGCCGAATTGGTATGAATTAAATTGCTTTCTTAATTGCCTAAATACCTTATATTTTTAAAAGCCTGTTTTTCCACTGCACTCATTTATTCTTAACAGGGTAATCCTTAAAGCTGAAAGACCTCTATTAAATTGAACATCGATGGCAAGCCTGTCATGAGGATTATAGAATTAGAACTTCAAGTGATTTAGAGAATGAGAAAACAAATAGGAGATTTTACACACGCATTTGTGTATTCTTCTTAAATAAATCCTTTATTTCATTTGTTGTGTATGTTGTAGCTTACTTATGTATGAGAACTGCACTAGATGAGTTAGTGGAATGTGGCTTTAAAACACCTCTTTGCAGAAACATTCGTATTACTTAATTCTTTATGTCAAGTGAAATAAACTCAAACTCTTACGTACTACCTACTCCATTGCCTTTGTGAATAAGAGGAAGTCTTGACTTCCACTAGATCTTCAATCAACTCATACATTCATTCTTTGTATCTGCATAAAAGTGGGCAAACTAATAAATTTTGATTTTAAATTTGTTTTCTCATTCTCTTACGTTCATGGTGTTCCGTTGTGTAGACACCTGCACTCTGCTGTGCAATTTAGCCAAAAGTTTACTTGGAAACTTGTCACTGGCCTTATATTTTAACAATTGTTTCAGAATTATTTTTTTTTAATAAGAAACTGATTCCAGCAGTTAATGCACTCAAGACTCTCACCATTAGCCTGTCATTTGCAAGAATAATGCTTTATTTTAGACCACTAAAAAGTGTACTGCAGTTGAGAGGATAGTGAAAATATGCACAGTGAGAATGTGTTACTTCACATTGTGCACAGTTTTCTTGCAGCTTTTCATAAATAAACCTGGATGTATTAAGCTCCTTTTACCTGCAGTCAGGATTAGCTTTGCTTTTTTATTGTCATTCTATATTCCTGTAAGGTGGGGTGCTTTTATTCCATGTGTCTGTATAGAATTTGTCTCAAAGTCTTTAGGCTAAAGCAGCATGTTTTAAATTTTGCTTCAAGAAGAAATTGTGGATTTACAACAAGGAATTACTTTAACTTGACTGGTCTAAGTGCAAATTCTGACTATTAGCATGATGTCCAGCTATGCAGCATTTCAGAGGGATTCCTTTAGAGATTTGGCAGTTGTGGCGTTGAAGGAATGAACTAAATTCTGTTCTCTTTAATCTCTGTTCACAGCTTTTTTTTTATCACAGGGAGCATTCTGAACTGGTAGTGCTAAAATCTGAGAACTTTATGGACTATCTTGAGGTTTTGTTCTCATCAAAATTAATTAATTTTTTTTTAAAAGTACTGCCTAAGGTAGATTCCTTTCATAGCCTTAAATTATAAAGAATTCAAGAAATTTCATTTATGAAATCATTTGTTTCATTTACAGGCAACCAGTGTAGGTAACTTGTTGCTAATGAGTTACCTCTGCAGTATTCACTTTATTTAAACATATTACTAAAAAAAAATTTTTTTTTTCTCTTTTCTTTCTCCTATGTTCATTAGATTCGAGATACTAAATCAACAGATCAGAAAACAACCCTCTTGCATTTTCTGGCAGAAATCTGTGAAGAGAATTACAAGGACATCTTAAAATTTCCAGATGAATTACAGCATGTTGAGAGTGCAAGTAAAGGTAAGCAAATAGATAAAGCGCCTAAAGGTAATAGTTGTTTGCTTTGGCATTAAATGCTTCCAACATTTCTTTGGGATTTTTGGATTATGTAATCTGTAAGCATTGATAATCCACGTAGGCGGTGCCTTTCTGCTTTTTATTGACCTTAGGAGAAGTGAGGAGGGAAAAAGCAGTAGTAAAACAGCTCCTCTTCTTCTGAAGTAGGTTGTGAAAATAATAGAGTGCATTTCGGTTGGATACTTAAAAAAATCACATCGCAGAAGTTTTGTCAGCAGTATAATTACAATGTTTAGTTTACTCTTAAGCCTTTGAAGTCTTGTTGCTTGAGAGTGAGCACCGTGTGTGTGCATGTGCATTCACACAGAGCAAGGTTCTTGTTTTAGCACTTGATAGAGAATAACAAATATACCTTGTAAAAATCCTGGGCTGTATATGAAATAGAGGTAGTTCAATTGTACTACCCAGTCAGTATTTGGTACTGACTGTTTTTGGTCAGTCAGCAGCATAGGCTGGTGAATGTGATAGAAAGCTCAGTTCATTTGTTGGACATTTTTCATGTGGAATAGACTGTGCTCTCTTGCATATTTGTTGCTGAGTTGTCAAAGGTGAAGGTAGGTGATAGTGCTTGATGAAGATAACACAAACTTTTGTTTTGATTGGGCATTAATGATTCATCAGAAGATAAATACTTGGGGGAGCACCAGAATATATGAAGGAAAAGGGGAGGGAGAAGAAGCTGGATACACATTTCCACTAAGTCGATCCAGGTTTGCAAATTTTTGTCTCCTTTTAAGTGTTATCAGTCAGTGTCTCTCTGCAGTGCAGTGATTAGCTGTTAGATAGACGCTCTTTTAATTAGGCCATCATTTGCTTTCAGTTTGTGTTCTTCTATCTTGAACTTCTTCCTAGTGAGAGCAGAACTCTTGTTTCCCCAAGGACTTGGGGAATAGTTCATCAATCAACCAAACTTTGTTGTTGTTTCAACTCAGACTTCTTCACAGCTTTATGTGAGTGTCTTTATCGTAGAATTTTTTTGCTGTTTCTCAGACTTTTGTGTCCCTTTCCAGGTTGGGGTTTTTTCCTCCATGTAAACTGAATTTTATTCTTATTGATTAAATGTTTCCATGCCTCACTTTTTTCTTTTCTGCTGAATTCTTCATTGGCATGGACAAAATGGAACTGATCTTCTGTAGAGGACTGAGGATGGTTTTGTGTTTTAATGCACAGACTGAAGTGACAACTTGTACATCACAGCCCTGAATGTACCATGTATATGAATAAAGGTGCATGGGTAAAGAGCACCCAACTGGCTGCTTCTACCTGAGCACTGTTGTGGGGCAGTGTTGGACCTGGTCTTGAAGGCATGAAGTTGTGTCAAGGGAGGTTTTGGTTGGATATTAGGCCAAGGTTCTTCCCCCAGAGGGTGGTTGGGCACTGAACAGGCTCCCTCCCCAGGGCAGTGGTCACAGCACCAGGGCTGACAGAGTCCAAGAAGCATTTGGAGAACAATCAGACACATGGTGTGGTTCTTGGGGTTGTTCTGTGCAGAGACAGGAGTTGGACTCAATAATCCTTGTGGATCACTTCCAACTCAAAATGATCTATCATTTTGTGGTCGAGTAACATTGTCATTAATTGTATTTATGCAAGTAGCAGTTTGGCATCTTACCTAAATTCCAAAAATGTTTTCTAGTATTTGATAACTCTTCTCTAGAGGTGACTTTTTAAAGTTTAATCTTTTTCTTCCTTTCTTTATAAAGTCTTATGGTTTACCAACCACTTTTGATGATCTTTTATGAATTTTCTTCTGTGGCTGACACTTGACCTTGGAGCTTTGAGATTTTTATAGTTTGATTCAAAGCCTCTGATGTTCTCTAAGTTGACTTCAGGAATTAAACCAGAGGAGTCAGTAAAGTTAGATTAAACTGTAGCATCCTAAACAGAGAAAGCATATTAATGGGAGCAAATTTGCTAATAATCCTGATGCTTAGAATACATATGAAAAAGATTTTATTGCAGTTAGATTTGTTTCATTCCCTAAGATAAAAGCTCATTACATTTCCTATAAAGAACACTGACTTCTAGCAGAGCATAAATTACTGTTCAATTTTAATGACCAAAACTTCCCTTTCAACCCTTTTTTGCTTTCTGTAGCAAAGCAGATTTTTGGCAGAATAAACTTGATTTGTGCAACTTGCTTTAACTTTTCCCCATGATACATGTTAATTGTAATGTTCATCTGCTCTGTCACATGTGGTGTTTTTTCTGTGTTGGAAGTTCACGTGCTTTGTGTGGAAGAGATTCCACCATTGTTTGGTGTTTTATAAACCAGTGATTTTGGGGATGAACAGTTAGGTTTATTTTTCCTATGGGAAACCTCTTTTGGAATAAATTGGCTGGATACGAGGGCATTGGCATCAGTTAGTTATACGTAAAATAGAAAGAAATCTACCAGCAAATATTAACTCTGCATGAATTTTAAATAAGGAAATATGAGCTAAGCAGGTGGCAGTCTGATTGCTTGAGATGTGTGCTCTTACTTTTTAGCCAGTAAGCAACCTTGTGGTTTGAACAGTACATAACATTCCAAATAAAAAACTTTACACATTCGACTTCTTTTAAATCTTGGGTGCATGTTCTCAATTCCACTTAAATAAAAAGTAAGTGGTGTTTGACTTTAATTTTCATATAAGAATAAAGAACCAGCATCTGAACAACAGCTGATTTATTTTTTTTATAACAAATAGCAGATAAAGAATAAAACTGGATTTTAATATGAAAAGGTCAATGGGATTAGATGAACTGCCCATGCATGTACCAAAATCTTCCATAATCTGATATTAGGTATGATAAAATATTTGATCTTTTTAAAGATGGAAGATCAGCCTAGGGGTTTATGAAAAGGAAAAATAAATTAGGAAACAGTTTTATTGTGGAAAGTATAAGCAAAGATCAAACTGATTAACTATCGAGATCATTGGAAAAAGATTTTTTGTTATGTGTAGCAGACTGTGAAAGGAAAACCAATAAAAAAATCACAACACTGGGATGAACTGCATTCTTTGATGGCAGTGATCTTCCCCCAGTCTACAGTCCTTTCCTCTTGTTCCCTTTGAGACTATGCAAAGCCTTTTTTTCATGTCTCTACCTTGTTCACTTGTTGTTCCAGTTGCTTCCTTTCATGGTATTTGCTCTTACCAGTTTATAAACTGTGATTTTTATTAAATACCTGGTGAATTCCCATCCCTTTTTGGAATTCAGTAAACCAAAATTTCAAAAGAAAACCAGGAGGTACCTTACAAGTCAGATAACATGTCTGGGACTTCTAGACACAGTCATGTTGTTAAAAGTATAGTTTGGAATTTCTTAGAAAAGTAACATATTTTAACTTAATTTTGTGTGTTACCTATTTCATTTTTATGATTTCTAAGGGGCTTGACACTCAAAGGAGTTTTAAGGTGATTAAAATAAATAAGCCATGTATTTTATAATAACAGTTTCAGATTTTAAGAGCAACAGTTTTAAATCACAGTCCATAGTTTAAACATTGTACCTGTAAATAATAAAACATAAAGATAAACCATAACTATGTCTTTATTCATTGAGCATCATATCCAGTTCCTCCAAAGTTTAATAGTTCTTGATATCCCTGTTACCTACTTTTTGTCTACCAAGAATGGGAATTACTGGGCTGTGTAGAGTCATGTCATGTTGAGCTTAATTGTGAATGTGGTATATATTTTATATATATATATAATAGTCTCTCTCAGAAATAATGAGGGCTTTTTTCAGCACTTAACATACCAAATTCTGTGCCTGATATGAAAGTGTTCCACTTCTTAATTCGTTCAAAGTGTTCTTAGAGGAAGCAAAGGTCATTCTGAGTAAAATCACGTGAAAGGTGCTTTGGGGGGATGAATTAAGTCTGTGTAGTGGACTAAAAAGGACGAATAACAGGAACACAGATTTCTCACTCATGTTGACACTGAAATTTATTTCTTTAATTTGCAAGCATATGGTTCTAATGGTTGAGGCATCTCTCTAGAAAGCACATTAGCAATCAGAAGCACTGTGGAATGCAAATATGTATCTACTTAATATATTATTATAAATAATGTAATAAAATATTAATTTTAAAATTTTGCGCAGATACTTCACTGTGATTTAATGTCATAAGTTTAGAATGAGGCAAAAATTTTAATGCTTTCTGTGCCATTGTCACTTTAAAGTGTAGCAATTTAAAACATACTCATAAGTAGCTATTTTTTTGTCTAACAAAAGTTTTATAGCTTGTTGCAGTAGAAGAAACGGTGTTTTAACAAAGAGATCTGCAACATTTTCCACCTTGCACAGTTTAAATTGCTGAAACAGATTTTACCCAATCTGGCACATTATAGGGTACAAAACAGACAATGCCTTCTGGCATGAGAAAGTTAATGCTGCATCTGTGACTTTTCTCTCCCTAATAGAGTCTGAAGTTGGCATTTTACAGCATAATCACAAGTCAGTCCTGCACTGTACAGAGACTTCTGTCAGTCTTTTCATTCACTTAAGCTGCAACATTGGACTGTCAGGATCTCTCTGTGTTTTTCTGACTGTAGTAAACACACAGTCAGGTGGATCAAATACTTGAAGACTCTTTTCTCTTGTGACACTCCTGTATTTACATAGAGCATCGCCATATTGGTGGTAGTTGTGCATCAGCTCATTAAAAGTTTCCCGACAGACGTGTTCTCCTTCATTGACAGGCGTCAGGGAGGAGAGACAGGGAAGCAGAAACTTCATAGATAGTTCCTGTGTTGTAGTTCCAATGAACAATTTTGGAAAGATAACTTGTTGGAGGCTCAGTGGGATTCTGGATTGGCTTACACTCTGCAGAATTGCTTAGTGAATTTTCTCAGTCTGTGAAGGTTTTGAGGATTTTTTTAGTTGCTGTCATCTAAAATGTAATAAATGGTGTGCAGAATCCTGGTACTTCTGAATTCTGAAGCTACATTTTG